AGTGAAAGCTGACATTGGATACACTGCATCTCAAATCGTTTATGGTACGACCCTCCGACTTCCAGGAGAATTCATGGATCCTTCATCCTCTTTGATGAACATGGATCTAACCGCCTACGCGAACAGGCTTTCAAACACAATACGTTCAGTTAAACCTGTTTCCACTCGACCACAATCAACTGATGTTTACGTTCAACCTGACTCACGACATAGTACACACGTCTTCGTACGTTGAGACTCGCATCGACGACCTCTCGAATCAGCATACGAAGGACCTTTCAAAGTTCTTCAACGCGAGCCTGAGTACTATATAATCGATAGGAACGGAACCAACGATAGCATCAGCATCGATTGCCTCAAAGCAGCGTATTTAGAAGAAAATCCTATTCACGTCGATTTCCCTTCAGTACAATCGCACGACACGACTTCTGCACTTATGATACCTCAATCGACATCCAACACACACGTTGATACTTTGGGGGTATCAGAAAATAAACTCAAAAACACGCGTTCTGGAAGAAGAGTAAGATTACCAGAACATTTGAACGATTATTGCGCGTAAGATACTAGATGATATTTTATATCGTCTCGATTTTCCCTTGTACCATAAATAATTTTTTAATTTAACGTTTAGATTTTTTTTATTTAAAAAAAAGAAAAAAACATTATAAAAACCCTTTTTTTACGCTATTACGTGAGCATGAGTTTATTTTCCATTTTTTCGCCCGCTTTGTGTTTTAATGCGCGTACGAGTGTATTTCGACATGCACTTACATATTTTTTTTTCCAGGACAGCTAGAAAAGACAACAAAAAGAACGATGAAGTTTTCCAGAAACAGAAATCTTCATTGTACTTTTTCTTTATTTACTATATTGCACATCATGGTCCCATATAGTAAGGAAAGACGGCCAGACGCTGCTAAACCTAGCAAGCTATCAGAAGAGTGTTTACTAACGACAGACTCGTTGGGTTTAAACTTCTGGTTGGTCACGTCTTAGGGTCATCACTACCCAACTAGGGGGGCAGTGGCCTGTAGCGGTAAATAAATCCACAAAATAAATAGCTCTGTAAGTTTTCGACATTGGATGCCGACCACAGTTTTAGTGGACTCATCTAGCTTAAGGCGATCGGTCATGTATCCGCACCAGATCACATGTGAGAACGCTCTGCTCAACATCTACTGCAGTCGCTAGCCAGATTAGTTCAGATGATCCTCGATATGTTGATACCTTATCAAATATATCTTCGAACCTCCTCGCTTCTGTCTTTTGATTTCATTTGGTGGATACGCTTCATATTAGAAGGTGTTAATGGTTAAAGCGTTGTCAAACTCCGAATACCTGTGGCATCTTCACTGCACTACAAAGGTTCAATACAGCCTTCCTTCGAGCTACTAAAAATTCAACGAATTCAAGATAGCTCTCAACAACAGGTTCCAAGCCCTACAGGAAAGAGCTGGAAAGGATTGCCCAGGGTGAAGAATGCTGGTGAGCGGCCTATGCTCCTTCGCGAGGAGTAACAGGCGTAAGTAAGTAATGAAGTAAAAGCGTCCAAAGTGCACGGATACTAACAAAACAGCAAACATTTAACTTAAACCAATGTAAAATTAATTTTGAAGTACACAGAGTAACGCGTTACATGTGAGAAAGATCATCCAAAATTACTTTTCTGCCGTACCGTCCTTACTAAACTTAGATGGAGACCCTATAAGCACATCGACAAGAACTGTTACCTTAAAAAATTGATAATTTGTCCTTGCAAACATTTTAACTGGGATCCCTATTTTAGGCTTTTGTAAAAAATAAGGTTTCTGGAAAATTGTTCATCGGTAGCTGTTTGAGTACGTCAATGAAAACGGGATCCTTTCGGATAAGCAGAAGGGTTTTAAAATACGCTATTCCTGTCTCACTAACCTATTAGTGGCTCGTGAAAGCTGGTGATCTCTTATGGACTAAAAGGTAACTGCACGTAACCTACATTGACTTCAGCGAAGCTTTCGACAAAGTTCCGAGCAACCGGCTGTCATATAAGTTAATAATTGTCAATCTATTGATGCGGATAAAAGACTTCTTAGTTGGGCGCCAACAAAGAGCTCTAAGTTGTCTAGCTGGGAAACCGTGCTTAGTGGATTGTCATAGGGTACAGTTTTGGGGCCAGTGTTATTCCTCTTGTATGTAAATGACCTTCCTTGTTCACTACCATCATCGGTCTTGCTACATGCTGACGATGTCAAGACATGGTGAGTGATACGAAGTAGGACTGATAGCTTAAAAATCCAAAATGATCAAGAGAAATTTTCTGAATGCTCTCAAACCTGGTAGTTGCCGATAAATATTTCCATGTGTTGTGATGCATATCGGTCATCAAGGTACAGATAACTACACGATGAATAACACTGAGCTATTTGTTGTCCAGACATACAATGACTTAGGAGTCATCGTTAGTCAAGAATCAAAGAGTACTGCACACTGCCGTGAAAGAGCAGCCAAAAGTTTTGGAACTTTACGGTCAATACGTAGGGCCTTTAGTTATGTCGACGCTAAAACGTTTTTGATTTTATATACAGTGTTCGTGCGTCCTAAACTTGAGTACTGCATACAAGCGGCTAGCGCCTGCTTAAAAAAAGACGGTGAACTTTTGGAAAAGGTTCAGAGAACAGCAACTAAGCTGATTCCCGGAACAGCGAAGACCTTGTATGATGCTCGACTGGTCAAGCTAAACGTATTCGGTTGTCATATCGAAGAACTTGATTACAGATTTCAAATTGCTTAGTGATAAATTTGCACCTGATATGCCCTCATTTTTCTTGTCTTTCAAAACAGTGAATTTGAAAGGACACTCCGAAAAAGTTCACAAGCCCATAACAAATTACTTGTCAGCTGACTATCAACTTTCTCATCGAATCATCGAGTGAAATTTATTACCTCAGAACGTAGTTGAGGCTCCATCCGTTGACTCTTTCAAAAGAAAGTTGGATCAACTGAGAGACCATCATTGCCAGGACTAAAATAGGCCATCAAGCCTGTCCTTTCCAAACAGAACCTGGAAAGGTTTAAGATTCAATCCCACGTAAGAAGATCAGTGGAGCGTGGTTTGGAATCTTGGTCTGTGTGACTTTTCAAATCTTAGTCTTCGTGATTATTTTTGGGTTTATTTAATATACTCTAGTTCACAATTCCGTTTTGTTATATGCTTTCGATTAGCCTCAGTGGTAAATTTAATTTATTGTTTTTGATTAGGTGTCATTCTAAATGTGGCTTAATACGTTCTAAGTATAAAATATATTTTTATCAAAGCTTTTGAGATCTTCCAAATCTGGTTGTGTAGAAGAATAATTTCCAAAGTTATGATTTACAATGGTATTTAAGTCTTGGTAAGTGACGAATCTTCAAGTACTTAGGAAAAGGCGGTAGTGATTGGGGTCCCAATCAATTCATAAAGGGGAAGTAAAGGCCAAAATACGTTGGGAAATAATAGAGAAACGCGCCAAAATATGTGCTTTTTCTCCTGTCTAGGGGAAATAATGCAGATCTTACCTTTTTTCGCTCTCTGTTTCAAATGTCGCTGAATTGTCTACCTTTCGCCTAAATACACGCCAAATTGTTTACTTCTCGCATGCGCGCGTTTAAAATACTGGCAGTGGTCTCGTTTGAACCGACCTCATACAAAAGATGCTCGAAACCCAATTCCCATTGGTTTTATATGTTTGGCTGTTCGAGTGAAACATTTATGATCCAGGAGGCGATGGTCTTTCTGCAGTCGATCAGTGAAGAAGTTTATAGTGGCTTCACTGGTAATATGGGTACTGACAGCAAAGAATGTGTGTGTAGTACGTACTGTTACGAAACGAGTCAAACATGGGAAAGGAACATTTTTGGAACAAACAAGGATTGAAATGTTACTTGATGTTGGTGTTTACGATTCTAAAGTCGTACCAGAATACCCGGATAAGACCGTCACCGTCCCGAGTAGTTCTTATATGGCTGCTCTGAGTGATGGGAAACGGACAGCAATGTGAAAACAAAAAAATGGAAGGGAAAAACCCTTTTCCACAAACAGCACGTTTGTTTTATAGGTATTTGGCAGACTCCTATTCTGAGTTGCAGGAGAAATCGCCTACGTTTCGAAGTAAGACTACCTAAAATCTAACATGGAAAAAGCTTGATGTGATCGAATGTTATTGCGAGTAATTTATTAGAATCAAGTGACCCTAGTCCAAAAACTGGACATGCACATAACCTGGTAAAGGTCGGAAAATTTATTTGTAGCATCTTATCTGATAACTACCAGATTAGATAAGAAAGTTGACAAGAATAGGTAAGAGGATCGACGAAAATATTCAATCCTGCCCATATAGACTCCTTAAGGTAATCTTAGGGTCGGAAGAACAGCGAAATCTTTTGTTAACTTGTGCTCAAAGTCACGACAATACTAACATTCTAGTGAAATCTGACACGTGTTTAGAAGATAGAATAAAAAGAAGGAGGCAGTAACAACTAGGAACGCGTCGACATAGTAGAGGAGTTTTTGAGTAGTCAGGTCTTGGGAACGAATTACTTGGTATTATACCCAACTTGTATGGGGCCGCATTTTGAATATGGGTTTCAAGCAGCGAGTGCCTGTTTCGAGTATGAAGCGGATATGCTAGAACAACGGCGAGAAACCAAAATGATGAAAGTTCTCACTGACCTATCTTGTAGAAACAGACCGAGACGCTTTAACCAATTTCCTTTATATTACCCATTACGGATGATCTAATACCGGGTTATTGTATACTAAAAGATGATGTTGGTATCTTTTATTATCATCTAAGACGTCATCTGAGAGAACATTTTAGTAAAGTCCAAGGACCTAGATAAAATCGCTTACGTCTGGAGTTTATTAAATCGATAAGTTTGTGTTAGTATTTTCGTTCCTATTTGTAGCCCAGTTTTCCCTCACAATGTTTTTCATTCAAATGGGACGAACTCTAAAACAGTATTTCTTAGTTACTGGGTCGTTTCACTCTTGTTCACGTAGAAGATATAAATGATCTTGTTCAGTACCTCGACAGTTATGCTATCAAATTTAGTTTCTTGGTTTCGATTACCAAATTATCTTAAATATATTCTTTGGTTTATGACTTCGCTTTCACCTTGGAATTATTTTTTTATCTTTCAGATTTCAATTCTGGCCAAGTGAACTTCTGCCTCCAAGCTTATGAACATCTTTGACGCTTATCTAACTTAATCATAGCAGTATGTTGTAAGCCCGTCATAAATTTATTAACGAATAGGAGTCATATTTCCTCTGGGCAAAGTCTGTGTTAAGGACGTTGTCATCGAGTTCAAACAACCTCTTAGAATGAGTCATGAAAGACAGTCTAACTCAACGATCTCCAATCCCAGCCTATCTGGTTTGGCGCTAAATCTATCTCAGGCATCAATACCAACTGGACCAATTCTTCTTCCACCGTTTATTTCCCATAGAGCTGACGAATTATCGTCTTTCATTGGAGAAAATCCAGTAAACACAAAGACATCTATACCAGGAAGTGAAGAGAAATCTCTCGACTCTGGATCAAGTCTTGCAAAAAACACTCATATCTTGGAAGTATCACCGCCTTCAGCTTGTTCCGTAGGTTTACTTTGGTAATTAATTCATGTACATTACAGTGTTTCAATATTCAAAGGAACTAAAACTACTACATGAGTCAATATTTCCTGATGTTCACGTAGATTTTTATCCTTCATTTATCAGAAATCTCGGCAGCCAAAGTATACGACGATTAGTTTTCTTAAACCTATTGACTGTAAAGATTCCCGAAATATCCTACTGGCAACTTGTAATATTCTAGATCCACTAGTTTTCTGTACTTGTTCAGTGCCACATCGTTTTTCTCCTACTGGAAGGTTCAAACTAGCGTCATTCACATAGTCAGTTGAAACGTAGGACCAGGCATTTATCTAAGTTGCCACACCTCATTAGCACAACAAGATGATAACCAAATTTATAGTAGTTACTTCATTGGTTTATTTATTTGAACACATAAATATTGGTACAAGGGGGCACCAAATATATATGCGCCACACAAAACAATGATAATTTGAAGAGAAGGAGAAAAAAAAGTAATGAACGTAGGGAATTATAAAAAAAAGAGAGAGAGAACAATAATGGGAGAAACGGAAAGGTACAATCAGAAGAAATTTTTCAGTTAAGGAAGAAGCAACCGTTTTATGAAGAAAGTAAAAGAAGGTTACAGCAGGACCTCCACTGGCTTCTATTTTGAGCCATATCTGATAACGTCTCTAGCCACTGTGTTACACCGTCTCTCGGACCCCAGCCAGGGAGTCGTGAAGGACCAACAGAAGCTAGCTCTTTGCAGCTTTCTTTCATACCACGACATCATGTCATATACTGACCACCTCCGCTTTTTCCAACCAGTCCCAGAGTCGGCAAATAATGCACGACGAGGAATTCTCTGGGACGACATTCTTAGAACATGTCCAAGCCACCGAAGTCGGTGTTTCAAGATGGTGACACCAATTTCATTATTGTCTCTGTGCCCGAACACACGATGCCGAACCTCTGCATTACTAACATGGTGTTGCCACTGAATGTCAGCAATCCTTCGGAGACAACGATAATCGAACACACAGAGTCGTCTAACATCCTCAACTCGGAGAGGCCAGGTTTCACAAACATAGAGCAAAACTGCTCTCACCGACGCGTTGTAGATCCGACCTTTTACAGCCAGCCTAACATCACGAAGGCACCAAAGATGGCCCAGATTGGCATAAGCCGCTCTGGCTTTCACTATACGTGCATTGATCTCATCACTCATGCCATCACCAGCACTTATGCAGCTACCTAGATACACGAACTTCTCGACTACTTCAATCTGCTCACCATCCAGAGTGAGTACAGGATTAGAATCCTGCCAGTCTTGTAGAAGTACTTTGCACTTCGAAGGTGCAAAGCACATACCATACCTACGGACACTGATTGCCAACTGATTAAGTGCGGATTGCATGGCATGGGGATTCTCGCACAGTAAGACAATATCATCAGCATACTCAAGGTCGAGAAGTCTTACTCAAGGCAAAAGATCCACACCATCATTACTTACATCCATCAGAGCTGTTTCCAGAATGTCATCGATGGCAAAGTTGAGGAGGAATGGTGAGATTGGGCAACCCTGCCTAACTCCACTGCTTGAATGGAACGATGGAGAAAGGTGGTTGTATGCCCTCACTCTGCCTGAGGTGTTTGTATATAGGGCTTTTAGGATGTTAATAAACTTCTCAGGCACACCCTTCTTCAATCGACACTCCCAGAGAACAGTTCTGTCCAACGAATTGAAGGCAGCCCTGGTGTCAAGAAACACTACGATTGTTTGCCTTTGATAAGTATGGCGGTGTTCTAACATTTAGTGGAGGGTGAAGATATGATCAATACATCCTCGACCAGAACGAAACCCAGCCTGCTCCTCGTGTGTCAATCCCTCTCGGGTTTTGAACAACCTACGAAGTATAACGGAAGCCAATAGCTTGGACGCAATCAGAAGTAGACTTATCCCCCGATAGTTGTTACAGGAACGACGTTAACCCTTTTTAAAGATAGGGCAACTATCGACTCATTCCATGACGTTGGTACACTCTCTAGTTCCCAGACCTTTGCAAACAACGTCGTCAGTCCCTTAGTCAGAAAGTCACCACCATCTTTAAGAAGAACCGGAGGTAAGTCGTCTGGGCCCGGTGATTTGTAACGTTTCAAGAGTTGGATTTCTTTGCGGACTTCCGCCTAATTTGGTGAATCAGTCGTCACTGGCTATGGAGGGCAGGACAGTCTGAGCGATGTTCTCGGAGAAGCAGGCCAGTTGAACTGCCTATCGAAAAATTCTGCCCATCGTCCTAAACGTCGATGCATGTTAGTGATTGGCGTTCCGTCATCTTCGAAGATTGTTTCGCTCACACCAGACTTCTTGCTGCCAGTGGCTTGGATGAGTTGGAAGAGCTTCCGGTAATTACCAGATGCAGCTACTGCTTCCAGCTCATTAGCACGCTTCGACCACCAGGCTTCTCGGTCCTTACGCAAGCTTTGCCCGATTTCATTACGTAACATCCTTCTTCTGTGGTCAAACTCACGGTCATCCGGAGTAGACCGACGAGCTTCAATCAGTTGTAAGGAACCAGAAGAAACCCAGTGTATATAAGCGGGACGTTTTGCGAACCCACAACAGACTGTACCCGCCATTTTCATGGCGTCATGCAATTGCAACCAATGCTCATCTGTACTTTTCGGTGGAATGGTAGCTAGCCTAGAAGCTAGCTCAGTTCGGTACCTACTAGCAACAGAAGTTGCAACCAGCTTGCTAACATCAATCCTGTGGTGACGGTCACTTCGTTGTCCACTGAAAAGTAAGGTAAGATTGGCGCAGACCAGAGCATGATCAGATTGCAGATAGGTACTCCAAAATGAGCGGCAGTCTTGTACACAACCACGCCAGCGTGGTTGTGTACTTCACTCGTAGTAATATATAAAAGAAAGATTGTGTATAAGGATATGGTACAGGAAGAAAGAATTAGTTGGTAGAAAGAAAGATATAAAGCAAATTTGATCTCACGGTTCAAGTGAAGATAAAGATTGTATACACCTACGCAATTGTGATCGATTCTGAGCCATGTCACCCAGAATCTCCAACCATTGGTTACGATAGTCGCGCGTACCTCAACCAAGTAGTCTGCATGTACCAATATGGCTCGGACTAGAGATTAGTTAGTTTATGGACTGATGCCACGTTTTGGTTTGGCCGCCCCCAAATTTCTTGCATCCATCTCCAACACTAGTCAGCATTGTGCATCGTGGTAATCGGTGTTCAGGCATACGTAACACGTGGCCCAACTATCTCAGTCGATGAAGATTTTTGCAACCTCATCAACTGATTTATCATCATCGTCATCATCATTCCCTATTACCCTGTGTCTAACCTGACTATTACTTACTCGGTGATCCTTGCAGATACGAGCAATATTTCTAAGACATCTGTGGTCAAATACTAGTAACTTACGAGTATCCTCTATTCTTAATGACCACGTTTCGTGGCCGTAAAATAAAAGAGAATGAACTGCCGTGCAGTATACTCGTCCTTTAATTGATAGCTATAACTTTTTGAACTTCAACTAGTTTGGGGACCTACTTCAATGTTTCATTCAGGTTGTTTGGAAATGGTGGTTAGCTATAGAGTATTTGAATGCCAGCTGAACTGCTCCTTAAAGTAGGTATCATTACCAAGGTTTGATTTGATAATTTCGAATAAATTGAGCATTGGGTAGATTGTTATAAATAAATAATATATTTGTAATATCCCAATGTGTAGAAAATTTAGATTTTCTGACGTTTCTTGACTTAGTGTAAGTCACTTCCTCAGCGGACAAATAAGCAAATTAAAACTAATCCAAGTTTAAATAGTACAACGGAACAATAAGAATAATATGTGATCAATCAAAAACAGGTCTGAACAAGTTAATGTCATGTCAATTCGGTTAAGGTGATTAATAAGTGATATATTTAAATTTGTGTGTACTGTTTAAGGATGAAAAATTGTGTGACATTTATGGTGAGAAAGGGTAGAGTTTAATTTGTAAGATGATAGTGTGACCTGTAAATAAGATCAGACTGACTGGCTAGGATAGGTAGTCCAAGTAGGATTTACGGTAAGGCCTTCTTTTCTATCGAGAGAAGTAGGATTAAGCATTATATGGGACGCTTCAACTACTCTCCTTTCTTTGTAATTGGAAAAGCCTTTTTGCAATATTTTGATATTTTTGAAATCAATTTGGTGGTCGTTGAAAATGGCATGAACTGCTATTGCCGATTTAATTTGAAGTTTATCCAATTCTACGGGATTGTTGGGAGGCTTCTTTGTGTACCTAATATGTTCTTTGGCTCTAGTTAAGATGACTCTCCAATATATAAGGCATCACAATCGATACAACCTAATTTGTAGACGCAGTTCTGTGTGGACATGAAAGGGATTTTTTCTTTTAAGCGAACTAAAGTATTTCGAAGTGTGTCTGTTGTTTTGTAATATACTTTAATTCTGTGTTGTTTTAAGATTCTTTGGAGTTCTTCTGTTGTGCCATGACGGTATGGTAAAACTGCAGTACCAATCCATGGTATTTCATTCAAATTATTATTATAACGCAATAAACCGTCCTGTTTTAATATACTTCTGATAATCCTCACAGGAAAATTATTAAATTGTAAGATAATAATTACATTCTTTTGTTCTTTTTGTTTGTCTTCTGATGTGATGATCTTGTTAGCCCTTCTAAAAAGATTTAAGGCTAGCGAGATCTTAGCACTGAAAGGATGGCCTGAATGGAAGTCAATCTGAGTGTATTTATTCTCTGAAGAAGTGACTTGCTCCTTAAAGTGTTCCGCCCATCGTTCTAAACGTCTGGATTGAGAGCAGATAAGTGTAATCTTTCTCAGTGATTGTTCCACTTTCAATTGACTTCTAAATCTCGGTGGCTTTTATTAGTCTGAAAAGTTGTCTGGTGTTACATACAACCGCTGTGTTTTCCATATCTTTTGCTTTCGTTGCCCGCCACTGCTCACGGTCGTTCCTTAGATTTTTGGTTAACCTAGATTTGGTTTGTTTCCACTCATCATAGTATTTGGAGCCTGATGGGATACATTTATGAGAGTCAATCAGTGTAGCAGAAATCCACTGATTTTTCGTGACCATTTGATTGAAATCACTAATAGATGTCACTGCCGTTTCCACAGCTGTTAGTGTTTCTTTCTAAGCAACATTAACTTCGTTTTCAGAACTACCTAAGTGTGACCTCAGTTGTTCCTGGAATCTACTTTCGACTTTGTCGTCACTCAGTTCAATTCTAGTGAGTCTTAGTGTGGTTTTTCTGCGTCTAGTGAGGCACAAGCAAATGCGTGCTCGTATTAGAGCATGATCGGAGTCTAAACATGTGTTCCAGAACGAGTCACAATCTTCTGTCGAGCCTCTCCAACGTTGACTGATGGCAATGTGGTCTATTTGCGTCTATCGTTGGTTTGGTTCAAGGGGTCGCCATGTTAGACGATGTCTCTACTTATGCTTAAAATTAGTGTTTGCCAAAAATAAACGATCGTTTGAGCACAGTTGCAGCAGACGATCACCATTATCTGTTCACTGAGCCGGAATGCTGAAATACCCACCCAAATATCTTTCTGTTTGGTTTAAGCTACCTACCTGGGCATGAAAGTCACCTGATACCAATGTTGTGTCTGAGCGTTTAGCTTTTTGAAGAAGTTCGGCCCCCGAATGCCCTGGTATGGCCGAGAGTAGTGTGGACCTGCCCTACCTCTCGAAATACTCTCACATGGCCGCGCGTATATAGCCTCTGCCAGGAAAGTCCTACTCACTGCCTTCTCGCACCACGAGTGTTGTTTACGAAAATGAGAGGACGAAAAGCGAATGTCCGGCGCTTTAACCGGACCCCAAATCAATGGTGCACATGGGCTCCAGTATCCTACGGGAACAAATGGCGTATGAACCAATCGTTGGTCACCGGCTACCATGGGACTGCATCGCCTCACGATGCTCCACTGCCTTGTGGATCAGATCTTCAGGTCGACGAAGGCTCGGGGTGTGGCCCCCTAAGAAAACCACCTGCTTTGGTTTGGGCACCCGGGCAGTATCACAGCCCTCACACATCAATTGATATCTGTGTGGCGCATATGTATTTGGTGCTTCGTTGTACCAATATCTATGTGTTAAAATAAACAAATAATAATAAATAGTGCGCGAAACACTGTCCCAGGTCTACTGAAACCTCTCTCCAAACTACACATTAGAGCATTCAACGTATGCACCCTATGTCAAAACGACCAGCAGGCCTACTTAGCTAAAACCCTGGAATCTCGTACCATTGACGTATGCTGTGTCTCCGAAACACGCATACAGGATTGAATTTTGATTTAGAGTATAAAAGTGCTTACTTTGTAGCTCAGCACAGAGCTTGATTTGTCTAAATATTACTTCATCTTGGTTATTTTTTAAACAGTTAACTGACTTGTAGCAATTACTAAGTAAAATCACTTTTAAACATTTTCATATTTTATCTGAAGGTCAAACCGATCGCTTCCACCACAGTCAAGTCAAATCAGCGACCTCGTTATGTTTTACCCCCGGATATCAACACTTTTTCATCTAACACTCCAACCAGCATTACCAACATACCTCCCAATTCTTCAATCAAACCAACTTTTAAACCAAATCAATTACTTCCTCCATTTCCCCCAAGTAATCCACAAAATAATATACAAACTGCCCAACTTCCTGTACTCATGGAAACAACAGATCAGCAAACACAGTGTCCCAATCAGAATATTGATCCAGCCTCATCGATCTCATCTTCCGTATTGATGAGTGAGTTTATTTATATTTTCGTGAGGTTAAACTGTAACTTAATTGATTTACTTACTACAGTCTTGTGTAATAAGCTTTAAAGCACAGTACGAGAGCTAGTGATATTTTTTAGAGCCAGTAACCTACCAGTTAGAATATTTTAAAAATAGTTATGTTGGACTCTCATATATGCTATCCGAACATTCGTAATTTATACAAGTGTCCATAGTTGTCATAATTTTGTGTGTCCAGAAGCATGCTATTTTGTTCCTGCTTAATTATTCTAAGATGTAAGAAAAACTTAGTGTTTTATACCATCATTCGAGCATTTATATAATTTGTTTTCTGTATGGTAATTCGAATGGCAACAAACTTAGTGAACTTCTTGGATAGGAAATTTTCTCAGTTACTCTAGGCCAACAATAGATTCTCGGGATAAACAGACATGGATCATTAACACAGAACATAATACAGATGTACGTTGATCCAAGTTACCATGCCACATTAGCACAGCAGGTTGAAGCGATAAAATGGATAGAAAAAGGGAACAAAATTCAATATCAATTTAATAATCAATTCATCTAGGTGCACCGGAAATCTGACAAGGTTTAACTACAACTTTTTGTACTAATATAATATTAATCAATATTGTAACCTGTCACATGTTCTTTATTCGAATTACTTTGTGGTGATCGATTAATTAATCACACATTACTTTGTAATTGTTATCACATTCTGGAGTTACGTAGGCAGATTTATCCTTCATGAGACTTATAGGCTGCAGACCAAGGATCTCCAAGCAACCTTGTTCTCGGCTATGCTTTCTATTTACTGTCATGTTCTATCCATGATATCGATTTCTGCTTCCAACTACTGGCCACATGTGTTCTTTGATCTGTCACCTTTCCTTTTGCCTTGAAGATTCTAAGTTGGGGCCTGTTTTGTGATAAATCCGATTGTTCCCTCCAAGTATGTCTCATTCACCTCCATCATATTTTCCTAATTTCCTCTGTTGACAGCTGGTTTTTTCTGCCAAAGTAGGTTTTTATGGATATTGATCGATCAATGGATTTGGAGTATCGTAAATAGACAGCTATTTATGAATGCTTTTACGCTTTCGGTAATGTTTGTGGTAGTTCTGAAAGTTTCAGCTTTATACAAAAAAACACTCCTAATGTTAGTATTAAAAATTCTGACAGTTGTTGTGACGGGTGTTTTGAGTTCCAGATATTCTCTAATTGTAGGGATGCTGCTCTCGCCTTTCCGATTTGTGCCTTGACATCTTCACGAGGTTTTCGCCGTTCATCTATGATGCTCTTCTAGAGCTCTGCTATCAAGTATGATTTAGCTAGTGCTTGTCGCACTGTACTTCAAGATTTTGTTTCTTCCCTTGTGAATGTTAAGGCCCACTAGTACTGAGGCCGTTGTTACACATTATTATTATTATTATTATTATTATTTGAACACATATTGGTACAATGAGGTACCAAATACATATGCACCATACAATAACGATGGGGTTGTGAAGAGATAGAGAATGTAAAATGCTTATAATAAAAGAACAACAATGAACAGAAATTAGTATGTGAGAGCAAAATAGTAATAGTAATGCGAGAAACAATTCAGTTAGCAAAAATATAACCAGAAAGAATTTTTTCAATCAAAGAAGTTACGCAGCTGCTCAGATACACGAACTTCTTGACTACTTTTATCCGCTCACTACCCAAGGTATGTGTAGGATCACTGTACTGCCAGCCTTGCAAAAGTACTTTGCACTTATAAGGTGCAAAGCACATATCATACCTACGGACACCGCCAACCTATTAAGTCCAGATTACATGGCTTGGGTATCGTCGCACCGTAAGACAATATCATCCTCATACTCAAGGTCGAAAAGTCTTTCTCCAGACAACAGATTGATTAATGTGCATTAACTACTTGATCACACAACACAGATAAGAAATTACGAAGTGTGCATGTCTAACCCATAAGTGACACAAAATCGGTGCTAATAAAATAATGATTAATTAATGATAAACCCGGAACAGTAAAACATACGACACCCATTCATAAGTTTTGTCAAAAGCTTACAAATAGAAAAATATAAAAATGCAGTGACCTAAGCATGCAGTAATTATACCATAAAAGTATCAACAATAATTCCCTCTAGAATAGTTGTGAAATGTCAATCTTTCTCAAGTCCACTTCAATTTAATAAAAAGTATGATTTCACTAAGCTGAAATTGTATCTTATTGTTTGTAAAGCATAGAATTAAAAATTATGGCAAGTTTCCCATTGAATTCTATTCTAATCCGTGTCTGGTGACATCTCAATCAACAGGGCGACTCAGATGGAAAGTTGTGACGAACCAACGAATGTTAATCCATCTCAAGTATTCTTTATTCCATGGCACCATGACACAAACTAATCTACACCAATTAATTGTGTATTAAATAGCTGAGTAATTTAACAGAAGCAACATGTAATTCAATACAGTAATACTTCGGTCAGAGTAAAATAGTGGCATCGCTTAATTATTCAGTTTTCGTCCAATCAGCTGGAGGTTTGTACTACGTTACGCCTACTTTGGTCATTACTCCTTACAAGCTGTGTTGTCTGAGTAAAAATTTAAGAAGTATGTTAACCACGTAATTAAAATGAAATGTGAATGCGTTGATGACACTAATGTAAGTATTACTAGTTCCTTAGCTTCACTATTTTAGATCTATACTGCGAACACCCGACAGTTCATTTAACATTTTATCCATGATAGTAACCTTCAACAGTCACTTCTCACAGTCTTGCATTGTATTAAAGTGTACTACTCTGCACAACCAAAACCTTAAGAATCCTGTGATGCCACAAGTGACGTGATTTTGAATTAATCATAACTGATTTAAAATTTTCGATGTTACATTCACCTAGAGCCAATTGTAAACTTCTTAACTAAGTCGAACAGATAATGTGTCATGATACATATGGTTGAAGACAAGTTATATATCATTAATCGATATTTTGTAGAGATAGAATCTAAACTAGAAATTCTTCTTTTAAGATTATATCAACTAGTATGTCTAGCTGACCTATAAAGATCTTAACATACCTTAAATTCATCTGATTTCTTCATAACAATCCATATCACTTGATCTTTATTCATTCTTATAGTTTGTTGTTTGAACACTTTATTAATTATACTGTCAATCAATAAATGAGTCCAAGGTTCGGGGAGCTGTATTGGTATCACGAACCCTCACATTAAAGATTAAATTCATCGTTGAATGCGCAAACTTGTATTTGGTTATTGGGCGTATACTACGGCAAGAGAAGTTTTTGATGCAGCAAAATATTGATCTACAAACAGATTTGAATAGTAACTTAACATAATAGTTCACTAGTTGTATGTTGAGTACAAATTGTCTTTCCTCTGGACAGATTGAAGGTTTTATGAAAACTTGGAAATATTACAATATTGAGTCCAAGTTAGCTTACCATCAACTCTCTCACGTTTAGTATATGGTAATAAACAAGTTTGTATCATAATAATCTCAAAGACACGGAGTAACTAAACATAAAAGTGAAGATCAACGATCTTTGTTGAACTTTAGCCTCACATTTCTTATGTATATCGTATTTTCTATACGATTATACAGTTTGACTATTATTGTTTATTATAATACATTAAACTAACCTTTAGACTTTTACATGGTATTTATTGGTCACACAAAGTTTTAAGTGTGAAAATAACCCTTCTTAAGGCATGTCTCTTCCCTAGTTTTTAACTTTTGACGAGAAAAAAACGACATGACTATGAACCAGTAGCGTTTCTTCATTTCATTGTTTACCAATTAATGACATAATCCAGAAAACAATCATCTCCCCATTTCCGCTGCTATTTGACTGGTCTTCCCGGTCTCCCACATTGTCCGGACGTTCCATGTACCTGTAAAAATTGTTGCTCTGGATGGTAAAAGGTGAATCGGCCTAGTGGCTTCCGAAAATCTCGGCTTTCACCATGAAGCGTCATATTTCTTCTAACTCCCAGGGCAAAGTTTAAATGGTTTGAGATATTTTTTCTGGTTAGTGTATTTTTAGCGAGTTAGCTTTCTACGGAATGGGGACACTAACCCCATGCACAACCCTTTACCCTGGCTTAAGGACCGGGAGCAACTCTAGAAGAGCTAAAGGCGGAGTTGGACGTCAAGTAAAAAATATATAAAACTATACAACATAGTCAGACAAGCTGCAAAAGTTTAGTTCACATGATGATTTCAAATACACAAATTCCGTCATACCGAATATTCCCATAAATACAAACATCAATCAGTGTTAGATGTCTCCATATGAGATTTTCTATGAAGAGTCACCATTAATTCAAATGAGTTACAAATGTTTAGCGTTAAGAAAAGTAAGCCAATAATGGTTGTTATACTAAAGAGGCTAATGTACTGGCAAAACGAGTTGAAATTCTATTAGTATCTGTTAGAGAGAGCCAGAAAACTCGAAAACATGCCAAAAACGGCTCTGAAAACACTGAGAAGCAGCTTATCCAATCAGAGTACACTAGACGTTTTGCCAGAAACATCTAGGAAGTGAAAACTTGCATGTCGAGTTTCTGATTGGATGGTTACTCATACTGCTACTATGTTCAGTAGCATTGCAGGATTTTCCGTAAACCCAAGCATATCCAAAATACTACAAAAACTCTAGATTTTGTGTACACAAACGGAGCTTTGAAGTAAAGCGTTTCTTCCGAATCTCGCGCCTTTTCTCTCACGTTCAAGTTGCTGTGTAAATCAAGTCTGGGCGTTACTAGAACAGCTTAAAAACTGAATACAGCGCTCAATTAGAAGAGTTACTATTATCGGATAGTCGGTCTGTTCTAGTGTGGTGTACTCTACTTTTGTCGACAGACGAGTATTATGTAACAATGATCAGAAGTTGAATGGCTGGCAACAGACGATTAAGAAGATCGAAGTTAACAAAACAGAAAGGGGAATAGAAAGGAATTGTGAATTTGAAGAATCAGACACAATGTAAAGGATAATGGATGGAAGATTTGAAAATGAAGCATCTCTTGTATGGTTCTCGTATTTTACGAAGATACTCTGTAAGTTTGTACTAAGTAGTAAATTGGTTGTCCCCACTTGAGTATCGTCCACGACACTAGTATATAGTATTCGTTTTAGGCTTGTCTTCGTCCACTCATCAATCTAGCCATCCAAGCACGAGTGTCACCATAGGTTGAACAGGACCCCAAAATGACGCTGTAGGTAGATCGTCCAGAATGTCAGCTTTCCATACATCGCATGACAATACGGCCATGATGTGAAATAAGAAAGTTATCGTGTTAAACCTCCATCACCTCTACTCAGTTAAATGGTATGTGTAATTTTTTAAACGGTAACACATAAAACGAAATTTATAAAACCTGCAACAACTCATTGCCCATGTAGAACACAATTTTCACTGTCAGTTAGGTGTAAAAACAAACTTAAAGTAGGAAATGTAACGGAAACAGAATTCTACACATAGGCAAACTACAATGTATTCGGATTCAATCCAAACACTTTTCTCAGTGTTTGCTCTTTTATGATGATAGGTGAAGCTCGTTAATAACTAACTACTTGACGATAACCACAGCAACACAACTCACAGTATCAGTTGGAATAATAGTAATCGTGATTTACTCAGTAGACCAGCACTATTCTAAGCGACCAGTTTGCAAGACGTTAGCAGTGGTCATTCAATCTATAATATTACACATGCATTTAAATTATTCGAATATACATAGATTAGACAGTCGAAAAAGCAACCTATTTCCTTTCAGAAACCACTGCTCAGAATTAAATGACTTGGCAATTCAATGCGTTTCTCGATATCCTTCTTTACTGTTATTCAGATTAAATTTCTTACTGTTTCCTTTTCTGTCACAATCAACACTCATTCCGACTGATTTGACATTCCTTATGGTTAGTCTCTAATCGTGATAATTCCAAATTGTGTGATTAATTGTTCAACCGATCAACTGGTACATAATATGCAATCCAGATCAATTTCACTAATATCAGTGCTCAACCCATACTGTGGTTTAGGCAGATCAAGTGCCGAATGTGTAGTTTCTGATAACTTACTAATCGAATTGTTGATCCACACTGATTGATCTCTAACGATAATTCATCATCTTATGCAAACATTCGAATATTGTATATGACTAATTTCTTTATGTTAATAATAGTAATATTTAGTGGTAATAACTCGTCAAGCAACACACCTCTTTGCATTCCCCCTCCTGATTTCACATTATTCACTAGTCTTGTTTATTCATTTGAACATTAATGGAAAATACTGATTGAACTGATAGATTTCAATATACGGAAATAGGCAATAGATGAACACTTGAATTTAATGCAAAAATAAGCTCCATCTTTCATTCCATTACGTGTCTATAAACTTTCATGTATGTTTCTGTTTTTATCCCATTGAATATATACAGTTGAAAAAAAGGATGAAACTTGTTTTCATACAAAAATTACATACATATGGCATTTTACAGCAGCATACTCTCTTACTACTGGTCAATGTTGGGTGAAGTTCCATATGCAAAAGTAAAACAAACAAGTAGAAACACATGAAAGTTTGAAAAACATTTCTCATCTCAACTAATAATATTGAAAATGTTATTCTACTGATCACCAATATTTGCAAAGAAATAATAGACATTAAAAATAGAAACAAATCGATTTCACAATACAAACAATTCTATAGTAAATAAAACAAGTCTACATAGACAAGATATGAGGAAGATTTATAATAATACTAATAGTATAAAATCAATCAATACAATATTTGTATTGGGTGGAGTTCAGTTGATTTTTCATTGACTTATTTATTAAGTATATCTCATCTTGGAATTTCCTTGTCTATTGTCCATACAATAATTGGTGGATTGATCAATTTACGGATTGATATGTACTTGGAGGTTGAGGGAAGACAGAATTACTAATAATATCAATCATAGTTATTTTACAGTGATGTATAGACGAGGTGAATGTCTGAGAAAGTGAACGAAAGAGACAAAGGAAGAGCTATCTCAAAAACCAAGGAATCCTTTACGTCTTTGTATCTGTGTGAGAGAGAGATAGAGAGAGAAAGAGCAATTGGAAGATAGAATTACGAGTGCAGGATGGACAACATATAAACAGTTTGCACAACCATGATGAATTTCCAGCAAACACGTTTACTGTGTTGTTTGCGTTTTTGTGAGAGAAATACAAGGCGGTTGAAAGGATGAGGTCAGTAATAGTAATAGTAATAATAGTTATAATAATAATAATAATAGTGATATTGTATTAGGAGATTCTATTCTGTTGTAAATAATTGATTAAATCCATATAATCTCGATGTATCCCATAAGGATGCAGATGATACAGCATATATTCATAGAGATACATCTCTTCAGGTCTAATATAATGGAATGAGACAGCATAATCACTGCAACAATCGAATCCCTGATTTCAATCAAGTGGGGAGAATAAAAGTCAATGTAATAATAATAATAATAATAATAATAATAATAATAATAATAATAATAATAATGTGAAGAGATACAGTTACAACGTGAAATAAGCAAAGTTTGTTGAATAGATGTACACTGAATAATAAATAGGTCAATAGAACATGATTATGTAACAATGATCTTACAATCACCACCAACTCTCACTAAACATTTCTACGCCACATGTGTTCCTCTCATTCAGTACATGTTTGATTGTGACAGCGTTACAAACACAGTTTGCAATGAGCTCCAAAATCATGTCATGATGTTTCCCTTTTAAACTGTTGTTTCTACTTCGTAGTTATATTATTAATGTGTTTTAATTTATTCACTCCCCACCAACCAACATATGAATGTATCTTCTTTAAAACTACTCATTTATGTACCTGTTAACTAATATCTGTGACGTGAAATTTTGTGCTAAACCTCAATGTCGCCATCTCAAAAAGTGATGTTTAACGATATTCCACTCATTATTCTCAACTTCTGTTATTTTTTCGTTTGGTTTCTGTTGCCACCACCAAACAATACGTTATTCATCTACTCGTCTATCTTCTGTGTTACTTAATACTACTCAGATAAATCTACCTAAAATACACATTTATACAGTGGGAATAATGTGGGATTCTCAATTATCATAATATCATTTTAGTATCTGAAGTATTCAGTACCATTCATGACATGGTGTGTGATAATGTTATGTATGGTAGGGGAAGAATAATCATTACTCTCGGAAACTAGAGTGTTTTGTCTGATTCTCACTCATTTGTATAGTTTAATGTAGACTTGAGTGAGCATTGAAACTTATCCTGTACATAATTCATACTGGAACTCCTGTTACATTTTCACCAATCATAATCATTTCCGTGGATAGCATATTTATGTATAGACATATTTAGTAGTAAAACTCACTGTATCTATTCTGTGGTAATTGTACTTTATGTACCATTCTGGATAACCCTTTGCATCTTTTGTAAGCATGTGTGATGGAGAGAAGGGATGAAAACATTCACGACCTTCTGCATCTAGACTATCAACTACTGAAACATTTGTAGCTTCAGCACATGACCCTGTAATCAATGAAGGAAGAAGAAGAAGAAGAAGATGTATCGAACGAGATTAGCATTGAATTACTTCTTTTATTGTTTTCGAATTTCCAGTATGTTAAAACACATAATATGAAGTCAATGAAGAATAGTCTTTTCAGTAAGTTCTCATCAGAATCTACGCTTATGCATAGTCCAAATTAATGATGCTAAAGCAATGCATAGGATCTTACAATGGTCAGTATGACAAAACGGAATTGTTCGTGGATAAATATCTATCCACTATGTACTGACAACTCTTATCATTGAGTCAACTCTAATTGTCAGAATGATAATTAGAACGGATATAGATATCATGGTGTAAGAGAACTAACATTGAGGTTATTCCTGAACTGTTGATTGTCCTGTCAAATAGATATGATGCGTAACTGAGGTGAACTCACAACACAGACTAAACGAAGGTGCACAACCAATGAAAACCCAACTGGGAGCAAATAACTGTTTCGTCCCAGTATGAAGCTGCTATGTACTGAGCACATAGACTACATCTAAGAATCGAATTTAAGATATTCAGGATTTCACAAACCGTTCAGGCTAATCAAATACATTAGGCCGTTTCCATGTCATATTCAACAATATCGATTATTTTCGGATCAGTTGTTTCGTATTCATAATACAACCACGTCACACGCAGTAATAGCATGTACACATACCAAGTTTCACGTCTTCAGCGAATGTATGTTTATTACTTTGACAAACGGGATTATTTTCTAGACCATTAGCGATATTCAAAAGACCAGCTCGAGATAGCACATATCCTCCACCACCGGACATATATCCTTGTTTAACAAATGGCTATTTTGCAAAGAAGAAGAAGAATGTGGAAGAAAATAGAAGAATATGTCGGATTAAGGAGAATGAAAACAACAATTTAAACGCGTTATTTGTAATAACAAGTATTTGAATTCCTCAAATTCTTATACAAATTAAGGTAACACTGAGAACTATTTGGATGCTCTCTGATAACGGAACAACTTTTCTCAACCTTTAGCAATTCGCTTAAATCATCGATAGTTCCTGTCGTGATATGAATTGATATTTCCCTTCAACTTAAATTATCACGAAGATATTCTGTTTACATTTATGAAATTATTCTTCACTTAAGTATTGATAGGATGGGTAATTGTTTCGAGTAACTACAAGGTTCAGTGCTAATCATTGGTCAATCATATCCTATCTGTTAGGTAAATCAAAATAACTATAATCTGCGTTAATTATTGCGAACAAACGCTGATGATTATTCCATTGATGAACATGACATTAAACCAGAAACAGCCTTTTCGAATGAGTATAACATACGAGTCACCAAAATCACTTCAGTCAGTACTATGAAGATGTAGTGTTTTTATCAAATACTAATTGTTTTCTGTGTTGAATCCCGATCCAGTCATCACTATTATGCCATACACAAGTTAGATCTGGGAACTTGGATTACATTTGGTACTAACAATGTTGCAACTATTACTACTATTACAGAATATCCTAACAAACCAAAAGAGGAAATAACAAAAAGAGAGAAGACAACATCCTAGCAAAGTGAACTGCTTCAACTGCAATACAAATCACGATGGACAAAGTGGCTGCTTTCGAACATCTCAATTTCCTACGAATTTTGTGAAGATGCTGTCCAGAAAGACCACAAAATCTTCAATATTGGACTAGCCATCTGGGAGAACGCTAACCCACCTAAATTTGTTTGACATTTTATTGATTTGGCCACCACACTCACTTTAACATGCCATCGGTTGATTGTACTATCTTATCACACAAATAAATGTACTTGTCAAAAATCAGCTACTCCATAGATACGGAAATAGACAACTCACCTTGAATCGTCTGCCCATGATGAACGGTTTATTGGGATTTTCTCTATGTAACATTTTGCGCAGATTCTCTACAATCACATATGAATCGTCATCCGCCTTCATGAAGTAATCATAATCATTGGCATAATGTTTTGCCATGTATTTTATGGCTCCAGCTGTCTTATTCCATAATAAGTTGCGACCTTCAGTGTTGATAACAGCTACAAGTTACGAATACATTGATATATTCGGTGGTGATTGGAGTAACTAAACAGATATATATATATATATATATATATATATATATATATATATATATATATATATATATATCGGCTCAAGTTGCCATTACACATTAGCTCAAATGTTAGGGAAAATGTAAGAGTAGTAGACGTAGTTACAGTATCAGTGGTAATAAGGAAAATTAAACATAGAAGATACGATTCGGGAAGGAAATATGGAATTATCAAAATGATTAAAAACTTTATGTGGAATTTGGGAACTTTGTACATAAGAGAAGACAAAGAATGAATGCATCTGAGTAATTGAGAACATCGTTGAGCATTGTTACTCAAAGTCTCTAACCATTGTTCACGATAATCACGCAGATCTCAACCAGGTTGTATGCACCAAACCACATGGATCGGTTCAACATTCAGCGTCCTTGTGGACTGATGTCACATTTCGGATTGTCCTCTCTTACCTTTCGTCCAAGCTATTAATTACACCAGCCATTATCACCCATTCAGTTAGTTGGTGGTTGGACATGCGTGATACACATCCCAACCATCTCAGTCGATGGATTCATTACCTCGTCAATCAATTTTCTATAATTACCTGGTGCTGTGCGTCCAACCTCAGAATTGTCAA